TTCGGAAGTTCATAACAACAATTTATCGATTAAGACAAAATTGTGAAAGTTTCTCTTCATATTTCTATAAAATGAAACACATATTTCAAGTATCGAAATATTTAAGTGAGGTATATAAATTAATTATTCAGAAGTCATTTATCTACTGTTTGGGTATCCCTGGTACATTTAATACCATTTGAAAGATAATTATTATATTCAGTTTTCAATTTCGGTTTAATTAAATTTTAATCGCGTTAATAATTTATAAAGTGCAGCAAGTAAAATCAAATTCATAAGATATTGAAATTGCTAAATGAAATCTGGGATGCAAATTTCTTCGAAGGACGTATAAAACTTTATGACAACGTAGATTGTTTCCAGTTCATTGAAGGCGCGCTCCGGACAAAAATAAACGTGGTTAAATCTCAGGGATCAAGTGGGCTATTGTTGTGTAAAATGCAAAACGTTTTTTCTCCTCCTCATTTGCACAATATTCATGCTACCGTAACCGATTACGTAAAATCTATAGAGAGAAGTAAGTTATGATTTTCGACATGATAATGGAACAATGCCTCCTCTGGGCAGATCTTCTGGCTCTTCGTACAAGTACAATAGTGCGTAACTATTGTACTAACACCTTTGACGAAGAAAAAAATAGCTCTTTGTATAACAGAAATTGAGAAACTGAATACTTTTGAAGATTAAAATTACTACACCCACTTAAAGTGATGAGTCATGGAAAAAGATACATGGCAGAATCATGGTTATTTATTTATTGCATCCATACATTTTTTTAACGCTCCAATGTCACCAACAAATCCCATTCGCTTATTTTATGTTTCATCGATGTTACAATTCATACTAAATCGGATTTATTTATTCGTAGCATCCATTCAATTTTTGTCAGAATTCTGAATCAGAAGCTATTATTTCCCTAGTAAATCTCATTGGCTAAATTTACATTTTTTGGCGTTATGGGTCATTCTGAATTGTAGTTATCCACAAGTTTTTTTTTCATAAATCGCGAATGAGAAGTAAAAATTTTGCCCATAGATTCAATTCTCTAATTTTATATTTCCTAGACGTTGAAAGACTTTTTTCCAAAAACACTATGCAGAAGTTATATATGTGCCAGTAAATGCAATTTGCTACTTTTAAATTTTCTCGACATATCAAGTCATACTGAATCGTCTAGCACGTCTTTTATATTATGTGTAAATATTGGAAAGTAAATAATGCTTTTCCAAGACATTCTTCGAAACCGATCCCAAAAATTATATAGATATTTCATGAATTTCAATAATGGGACCCATTAAATTATTTTGCAAGTTGATCAACCCGGATCGCTCTTCATAAGGGGGTGACCATTAATCACGTGAGGTTTTTAGGGGGAGGGAGGGTTTGATAAAAAATCACGAAATATCACGTGGGGGAGGGAGGGGTGTGGTAAGATATCACGTGTATTTATTTTTTAATTGTTTTTTTTTTTTTAAATTCAAACATTTTTAAAAAAAATCAGCAAATCAACAGCATAACTAAATTATAAGATATACTATAAATAACTATATATCTGAGAATTTTTCAAATAAAATATTATTATATATAATATAAAAAAAATTATTACTAAATACGTAATTTAATTTTTTTTATATTTATAGTACATTATTTTACCTTCAATTCAGCTATAATAAATATTTGTAATTATTATAAATGTAAATTGTTAGAAAAATTCATTTCATGGTGGCGAATACAAACAGAGTTTTATAAAATTTCATTATGACAATGCTAAAACATGAGTTTTAAAAATTTATTAGTTAATAGTTGATCATTCTGTCGCTTCTTCGTAATAAACAATTAAAAATATCTTACAAAATTGTGAAAAATGAAATGACAAATATGAATTTTACTAAAAATGTAATTTAAAAATTATTATTTTATATTATTTTTTTACTTATATGATCGTAATATCAATTTAGCCATTTATTATATTAAATAATTTAAAAAAAAAACAAAACTAATCAGCTGTTTCTTCATAATGAATAGTTAAATAAAAAATATCATAAAATTCTAAAAAATTGTACATTTAAATTTTTAACCGACAAATATGAATAGTACTAAAAATGTAATTTGAATATTATATTCATTTTTATACTTATTTATACTGAAGATCAATTTAGCCAATTTTTGCATAATATTCATAAAAAATATGGACTATTTAAAAAATATATCAAATATAATATAACTAAGATAAAAACTTATGAACTTATATGAATAAGTTGCATAAAACAAAAACATTCAAATCCATTTTTGAGGTGGTCTATTTTAACTTGGAAATAATGTCTAGTACGTGGGTTTTTTGGTAAAATTATTTATATTTTATAATTGTTAATTTTGAAAGATGTGTGTACAAATTCGTATAATGAGAAATGATTATACATGTTCTGTTTGGAACATGTAATTTTGCCTAAAGCATTCAGAAAAAATATTTTCATATAAATTAAAAATAATATATCATATATATATATATATATATATATATATATATATATTATATTATATATATATATATATATATAAATATATAATTTACGTAGTTTCAAAAACATCTGAATACACGTAGATGTTACGTAAGGGTTTCATAGCAGTTTCTTATCGACCAAGTAACCTACTCCGATTATTACTAGTACCTTAAATCTTTAAACTCGTATATCAACTCCCATAGATTCAATTATATTTCTCCTGTACAGATATGTATATACAAATCCGAAATATTATAAATTTCAAATTGCACAATACGAAACATTTACAAGAATACGTAAAATTATATGAGAAATGAACCATTGGCCTTTCGCGAGACGCCCGAAGCAACAGTCGTGCACCCGACTTTTTAATTCAGTAATTTAAGTTATTTAATTTAAAACGTGACCGAAAAACAAGCCCGAATACATCTAGAATTTGTGGAAATAATGTAAAAACATACGTTTATTAAAATTCTCCAAAAGTCATATGCACAGTAAACGAAAATTTACAAAATTAGAAATATGAGGAAACAATTGCAAAGTGTAATTACTATTTTTGACAAAGTGCTGATTAGACAAATTTAATTATACATACTAAAAATTAATTACATATTATTTCAAAATTGTCAAACTGACATAAAACGTCAATGATCAAATAGTACTACGTATTTACACAAATGCATGAAATTTATAAACGACTGAATATTCATTTATTAAATAACTGACATAATTTGCAGATATGGCAGTTTTGTACAATATTGATTATATATTTTATTGTAATATGTGAACTTGTTAAATTAAACAAAGTTAAATTAAAAATATACCCATAGCTAAATAGTACTTGAAGTGCATATTTGCACAAAATATACTTTTATTATCAATATTGACAGATAATGAGCCACTTGAATATTGAAAACCACACATTTTGAGATGCATAAAATTTTAGAATTTTCAAAAAAAAATTAAGAAATATGAGTACTTGCACTTACTTGCAATTATATCAACCATCAAAAATTACTGCAGAATAAGCAGATAAGAAACAATTTGTATGTTATATTTCAAGAACTTCAAAATTATTGACTAGCTTTTAACTAACTAGCTTATTTGGATAAAAATACAGCTTTGTTATAAATAGTTATCAAGATAAAAATGAGGTGTATTAGAAGCATCAGCGAGTTAAATATCCCAATGAGCATCGTTTTCTAAGGAATTAAATTTCTGGCAGATACAAAAATTATGAGTAGTGGCAGCAAGGTTAAAATCGGGGGTTGCAAGTATTTTTCAATCAATCGTTATAAAAAAAATTAGTAAATTGATTCAATACATAAATTAAAAAATAATTATTGAAGTTGGATAACGCGTAATAAAATCTCAATCAAAATTCAGCCAAAAACGTTCGAGATGAAAGATTATGTAGTATAATAATTTTAATGAAATAGAGATTTGTAATAAGAGGGCGAAAAATTAGGGTTATATGTATTTTTACACACGTATTATAAAACAAAAAATTAAAAAATTCACAAAAAAATAAATTAATCTTCAAAGTTTCAATCAAAACTCAGAAATTGAATTTATCCCTTCCTGGAGATAGGGTAACAAATAAGTTCTTTTGATTAGGCTTATTTTCTGATAATGAATTTTTCTTGACGTTATTTCTGGCTGTTTTATGTACATTTAAGTTTTTGTCCGAACGTCCTAGACCCCCTAAGTGCCTCCCAATCACCAAAAATATTCAACCTTTGCCTCCCAATCAACAAAAATATTCAACTTTTTTCGTTAGTTATTGTTTTTTTTTTCAAAACTTTGAAGTCGTATAACTCGAAAACGTATGTGTCCAGATGCGTAAAATTTTAGCAGCAGATTCCTAACTTCATAATGAATGAACACTGAGAATTACAGCTAAATTCGAACGAGAATTTTTCTTATTCTCCAGTCATTTATTTAAGCTTAAATTAGGTAAAAATCTCAGAATTCGAATTACCCATCTGTATGTCTGTAAATACTGTATATTGACAGCGTGTTGTCTCAGAATCTACATATTATAGGATGTAAGTACCATATGTAGGTTTAGCGACAACTTTTGGGGTGTCAATATACAGTATTTACAGACTTAAAGCTGGTATCTCAAATTCCAAGGTAAATGTAATATAATGACTGGACTATTAACAAAAATCACGGGTGAAATTAGTACCAGCCTTACTACTACACCTACTTTTAATCAGGTTTTTTTTCAAGTTTTCTGTGTTTTTTACTATAAAACATAGGAAGTATAAACATAGTATTAAAATTAATCTTTCGTGACGTTATTTCTGGCTACTTGACGAACATTTAGGTAATATAACATTTTCCCAAACTATCACAGCGATTTAATGTATAGTTTTGGAATGCATATAAAGCAAGCACAGAAGGACTGGCAATATGGCATACATTCATTTTAATATATAAATAAGTAGAAAAATGAGAAAAAAACAGTAATGTAAATATCTTACCTTTTCCCAGGTTTTGGTCTTAGCCGCCGTTTTGGCCGTAGCCGTCGCTGACGTCAGCCTGCTCCGCAAAGGATTCGTCCCACCACGCACCGCCTCTTTCTCAGGTGGAGCAAACCTTGCTGCTCCCCGTTACTCCGGCCAGGATGAAAGCCAGGCCCCAATCTTGAAACTCGTCAACGAACAACAAGATGACGGCAGCTTCCACTTCGAGTAAGTCTAGAATTATAAAATAAATAAAATTATTTAATTTGTGGTTTCAGCACGGCTTAATGGACCGATATAAGAATTTGACGGTTCTTTAAGCTGATGCTCGATAAGAAATATAGAATTTTTCAATACATTGATAAAGGGATATAGAAATTTTTATTACATTGGAAACTACCTTTATGCTATATATTTTTAACGTTTTTTAACGCATTTTTTAAAATAAAATATATTAGTACATATAAATATTATTAATTTAAATAAACATAGAATGATTAAATTACTACAAATCGATTTCTAAAAAAATAGATAATTTTTGGACGAGTTAATAAAAAAAGTGGATTGTAATGTTCTCTTATAAAAGCACCAATTCTATTGCAAAATGGAAAAAAAATATTTTGCTGTTATAATTAAATTACATAACTCAATTTTTTCACAGAATTATTTTTCTAAATACTTATTTGTATTTAGAAAGTTGTGATAAGCAATGCAAAATAACATAGATATCGTAGTGCAAAATAATATAGATATCGTTTAATTATAATGTAAGATAGACTAAATAATAAAATAAGTGCGTAACTCGAAAATTAATTGCTATTGTTATTGCAATTCCCCTTTACAATTCATAAACATTCTTCTTAAATATTTACGTTCTGATAAATTTAGACCCACGTACCGAAAAGCATATCAATCTCTCATTTACAATGATGATAAATTAATTGTATTTTTGATATTATTTTTTTATTTTTTAATATAAATCGCACAACTTCATGATATTATAAAAATCAAATTATCACGTACTTATATATATTTGATTATATTCATTTATTTATTCCTAATGGCTGGTCGTAATCAATAATAATAAAAATTATCAATGCAGAAGTTTATTATGCAATCACGAAGTTAATAATGCTTAATAATAATGCTTAAATATGAAATTAATAGATGAAATTTACTAATTTTTGCAATTTTTACGTGAAAAATTAAAATAAATATACTCATAAAAAATACTGTCAGATAATTAAGAAAAAAAAATTAATATGTAATTATGTCGGTTAACCTTTATACTTCATGACTATAAAAATACAAGTGAGCATTTTATGAATTTATTATTATTCTATATATTATGTTATTTTTTTTATATTTTGTAGTCAATGGATTTTCCTGAGATACTTGATTTTTAAAAAAAGAGATTTTAAAAGAAGTAAATTATTCGCTAAATAAAATTTTAATTAAAATATTTTAGTAAACAAGACTTATACAAAAAGTAAGTAATGTTCGAACTGTTAACTATCTAAATAATACACATCGACAAACATCGCATTAAAATAATACAATATTTGAGTATTTAATTTATTTACGTTAGCAATATTAATGGATCTTATTTTTTGAAGTGCGTTTCACCATGGTATGATAAAACCTTTCATTAATTAGAAAACTTACCAATGACTTTTAATTATAAGATCCTTAAATCCTGAATTGTAAGTCCTTACTGAATGCGCTTTAATTATAAGACAGATCGTAATTTAAATAAGAATAAAAAAAGAAATCCAATATCTGCTATATCTATTCCATTATGGAACATCAGCAAATTTTTGGTAGTACTTGGAATGTCTAAATCGAATGACAATCGAGTGATTGGACGTCTGGGTATAATAGTAAATTTGACGTAAATTCTTATTTGTTCGATTAAAAATACTAACAAGTACATACAATGAATTAACGTATATCGGTCGATGTCAACTATACACCCAACTACTCCGTCTGCGTCCCCCAAAATTGTCTGACGGCTGACTCCTGAAAGCAATATTACTGAATTCTTAATAAAACTGGGCATCTCCGGAATGTCGTTTCACTTTCATGCATCTGATATATTTCTCTGACATATTGTTTCGAACGGAACGTGATTTAGCCGCCGCGGCAAAACTACTTCGATTTATATTTACCATTATTGTTCGGCTCCGAATGCATTTATTCCTATTCCATTTGATAGTAGGTGCGTCTGCATTGCATTCACTCTGCAATGTCCGATTAGCATTGGCATTTGATATAGGTAGCAGTCGTTTGTCACAACAGACAATCCAAACTCTTCTGCAATATTCTAGAAAATAACATTACATAACATGCAATGTCAATAGGCAATGCCATTGCGTCGGCAGGTGAATGCGGCAAACTACAGGTATACAATGCCGCATCTATTCGATGGTAATAAAATTATTTGTGCAGACACAAACCGATTTTTGAAGGTACGATTTGATGATTCAAATCACTTGAAATTTTATTTCATAACCCCATCTATTTTAAATTTGAAATAATCGATTTTGAAGTGCCTTTACCTCTGAGGTAAAGGCAGTATGTCCCGGGGATTTCCATCTTGTGTACTGGGTTTTTCTAAAAGCAATATTTGTTCCGGATTTATTATAGATCTCTTATTACAGGTTTTCAAAAATTACTAAGTAGATATTAATATTTTTTTATTTAATTAAATAGCATTTGTTATTTTAAGGACCCGCCGTCCATAACTAAACATTGTTGTCCTGATTAAAAGCTTAAAAAAATATGGTCACCTAATAGCCTTTAATATTTTAAGTAACCATATGTCTAAGGATGGATTCTATAAATATGATGATGCTCCATATCTATGATAACCAATTTTCTAGATTGAAAAAAATTAACCAATTTTCTAAATTTAAAAAAAATAGATACAGTTATTTTTCCGCAGCTAAGCATTTAGTCACATACATATTATACATATAGTTTTTCTTAGGATGCAACTAAATTTATAAGCAAAATTAGTTTATAAATATAAATATTGACCACGTATTAGTAGTTCAATGTAATCAACTGCAACAGAAGAGCCAATTTACGGATAAAATAAGTCTGATATGGTAATGCTAATTAACAGTATTTTTACACCTCATATCTTTCATACAGCAATGCCCTCAAATGGTTATTCTCACTTGACATTATATTGGCAATCCAATTATTATTATTAAAGTAAATATTTAAAAAGTAAATCAAGTAAAACTTTGATATCGTACTGCTTGATACCAAGCTGACTAAAGATGGGATCGAACAAACAGTATAATTAATCTTAAGATTTTTTGATTGAGTTAATTCTATAGGTTTTATTCTTTTGGGCCTAAAAAGGTGTATGACGTCATACAATGCTGCAGCTAATGTATTTGGATAATAAAATATTTTCTGTATAATTTTGAGCAATATTTAGAATTTTTCTTACACGGTCAAAACAATTGAGATTTTATGATACAAATGCGAAAGGATACTCAAGAAACTTTTCAGTCTTTCTAACCCTTTTCACTCGCGAAGTGCGAGACTTATATGCATTTTCCGCCGGAGCGGCAGCATCCGAGTGGAAAGGGGTACTCTTTTTTCCAAAAGCATAATACTTGATACGCTATGTACACTGTGTAATATTTTCTTCTGAAGTACCTCTTCTAAATTATTTAAAATTGCATAATTAGTATCATATCGTTTTTCTTTTAAGATTTTGTTGAATCGATAATTTATAAAATATCTTTTGAAAAAAACAAATTCCTTTGTGGGTGATAATTGATACAGAATCACTTGCCATTAAATCGTATTGTTCATAAATAAATTAGTAGTAAAATAATTAACTAAAACTATCTAAATGCTCCAATCATAATTCAATTGAAAATCTACTTGCTACGTCTAATACATATTTTTTTCCTATTTTTTTTTTTGTCAGATCTAAATAGCCTGTTTTTGATCTTCACAATTTTATATATTTTTACCTAAAACTAAATTAAATTGTATTTATGTACATCACGTAGTTATAGCATTTTTAAAACTTTCTTTCGATAAACTCAGGTTTGTATATTAAATATTTGTTGCAGTTATTATTACAATCACCGATTTTTCACTAAGTTATAATGAAAAAAAAAACATATTTATTTATTATTTATTACACATGTTGTTTTACGAACTTTACTTTTTAAAGTGAACCATTAGTCCTATTAAAACTCTGCGCTACCCTCTCTACCAGCAATCATCCTGTGTAAAAGATCAATGCCATGAAGATTGTCACCTTCATAGCCAATATAATAATACGAAAATACGTTATATAAAATTGTATAAGTAGTATCATATCGTTCTTCTGCAGTTTTTTTTTCAAATTTCTGCCAAATCGATAATTTATAAAAATACGTCCGAACATAAATATTGCCTTGGTTTTGATTATCTCACTATAATTACTTATTGAGAATCTTATTGCAATAAATAGTTCTTGGTACAATAAATAAAGGAAGCGAGCTTGTTGTAAAGCACCAGTAAATGACACCAAATTTCCACAAACTTAAAAAATTTTATAGTAAATGAAAAAACTATTTACTACGTCTGATACATTCATTTAGAGTATGTTTTTGATCTTCAAAATTTATTTATTTTCACCAGGCAAATAATTGCTACGCTTAATTGATTCTGTCGTGAAAATTACTGGTTTCAGTATATGTTGGCCTATTTTGATCATCTATTTATTCAAGTAAACAACCTCAAAATGACACATTGGCACCGTACGATATTATTAAGGATACTTGCGGGATGATTTATTTACAGTTTATCAGAGCATCGAGCACCATTTGGTTTTCCGGCGGTGCGATACGAGTACAGGGCGATGTGTGGGCGTGTTGTATGTATTTCACATTTTCCGCACAAATGCTGGAATAGTCCATTGAATGGAATTATGCTCATATCTCTGTCGTAATGACACAATTCAGTATAGTATCAAACACTTAACAAAAATGGCTTTCGTAAACCGCTGCTGTTGTACTCCTCTATATGGACCTAATGCTCTTATGGCCCTTTATGGTAGTCTCAGTATAAAGATGCAGCTGCGACTGCTCTCACTTGGACACAATAGTATTATTTTTATTAAAATTCAATGCATTTTTCGAAGTTTAGTAAAATCTCTCATGGGAATATATAGACATTTATCTACTTTAAGGATTGAAAATATTCTGTTCTTT